CATCCCACCAGATTGTCCTTCTTAGATGTTTGCCCTGAGCCAGAAGTGATGCAATCGTAACAGTTCACTTGGAGGGTTGATTTCCAGAATGGTGTCATCCATTCAATAAGTATTACTAAGGACCCACTGTGAGCAATATTTAGGCACCAGGAGTACACAATGAAAGTTCCAAGTTCCCCATACGTACATCGAAGTAAAGGAGATCGGTGATAAATAAACACGAGACTATGTAATGGCAGGTAGAGACGTGAGCTGTGAAGACAAGTAAAGCAATAGAAGAGAAGAGAAAGTGAACAAAGGAATGTACTTAGGTTTGAGGCAGAGTGGCCAGGGTGGACTTCTCTGAGGAGGTGACATGTATGCAGAAGTCTGAATGAGATAAAGACATGATCCATGAAATCACAGAAGAAAGAACTTTCTAGGCAAAGTGAAGAGGAAGTGCCAAGGCTCTGGAGTCCAAAAGGCCAGTGAGACCTTTATTATGCATACAAAATGAGTTTCCTTTTGAGGATACGGGTGTAGCTTTCAGATGAAGCTGTGGGGCTTTTAGTATGGCTTGACTGACTAACATAAAGAACCCTGGAATTCTAACAGCAGTCTTTAGGACTGAACTGTACCTGGTGCCCCAGTTGCCTGTCTCACTTGTTCTTGAACACTCTTGAATTGAGGGAAATTAGAAAAGGGTGTATATCTTTCCTGCTACAAAGACACAAAACTAAACAGAACTGTCCTCATTGGTAGGTTTAGCTTTTAGTTAAGTGGCTCCATCAAAGAGACAGATTATATAACTGGCAGAAGCAACGTCTTCTTTGGATTTGAGTACTGGCTTTCCACATTGCACCCCAAAGGGAATGCCAGGGCACGCTCACGAGGCCAGAAAACAGTCTCAGAGAAAGAGAATCAGCACAGGGGCAGTGAGAGGAGCTCCGGGCATGAGCTGCTCCTCTTTTTGTAAAACTGGGCCAGGCCCTGGGATCCCCATCTCCTAATAAGGAAAAGGCTCGCCCATTTTGACCTTTACGGCCTGTTGCAAAGTCATTGCTGAGCTATTATTTGAGTAGCTTGAGGTAGAATAATGTTCAACTCAGCTTCCTGGAGCTGCATTTGAAATGCAATTAATTGACTGCTGTTAGTTGTCAATTAACATTTATTATCAATTAGTTCATCAAATTGATTAGTTGGCAGGACCTTAAAGTCTAAATGCACTCCTTTCCATTATAAATATGTCTATAAGAGTAAAAGCTACTCACTAATTGATGTCAAACTGGAATTGCTTATGTCGGACTTGACTCTTGTCCATATTGCATTTTAAAATCTATATCAAGTGAGTGTGGATAGTACATGTAAGGTTCATACTTTCAAAATGTGGATGCTGTAGTTGTGTTTTGGGGGCCACCAGTAAACACAGCAGGTGGACACTTTATACCGATGTCAAAAGTCAGGTTTAATAGGACTTGCTATTGCATATTCACAGGTCTGGAATAATCCTTCTTTGGAAAAAAGCATTGTGTTTTTCAGGGTTGCTGAGACGTTAGTACACATTTAAACACTGTCTATATCAGTTTTAACATTTTGTGAGTCAACTAATAGGATATGAGCTCTCAGTAACTATCTAGAGGAAGGCAAAATACAAGTATATATAATTTGCAACACCTTCTATTTGAAAGATAGGCATATATATATATATATATTCTTTTTATCACTCCTTCTCAAAAAAAAGTTTTCTAGGATGTACCAGCATTCTACAGTATTCTGCATTCTATCCATTGTCTAAATACTAATTAATAGATTTTGAATTCTCCCTTCCATCCTTTCCCTTAGTAAAACAAACCAAATCAAACCAAACCAAACTAATAACAGAAAAAAACTGAGATATGCCATCACTTACAAAGACCCATTTTTTATCTTTTTCTGAGAAAACATATAATCATTCAGCCTTCAGCATATGATATTCTGTCTTATCTTTTGCACACTTTGGGTTGAAGCATGGAACAAAACTGTAACTCTCTCCCTATTTAACAAAAAAACACAAGATACCTACAAGGGAGTATTCATTTTTTATTGCCTTTGTGCAAAAATTTAATTCCTGCCTCCTCCCACCCCAAATTGTGACCTAAATATGGCTGAAAGACACAACATGTGACCTGCTTAGCACTGCCTGCCATGGCCTCGAGCCACAGCAGGAACTCTATTAGAGGGAACGGCACAGATGCTACCAGATGGCCAACATATTGTCCAGAGATGACCCATGTATAATTGCAGAAAGTTCAATACATTCAGGTTTTTTAATTTAATTGCATTGACCACCTTACCTACTGCTGCTGCTGCTGCTTTAATTTAAGGTGGAAACATCATTTAAATGAGAGGAAGGGAACTCCTTACCGTGTTGTCTTTCTGTCTTTTGCCAAATGACTTAGAGGTGTGATTCCAGGTGTTCCCTGCTACCTGAACTATGAGCAATTTATGACGTATTTGCTTGGCCTCTCTTATTTGGCTGGAGAGCTTCCCTTTTCAACCAACTTAGCAACAGATAACATTACCCAAAGGTACATGTGTGTATATTCATATATTTTCAAGATTGTTTCTGGTGGGGGGAGATGATGATGGGGTGAGAGTGTGCCTGCATGGTCGCTTAAGCCTTCTCTCCATTCCTTCTGCAAAAAGTTGGTTCAGTTTCAATTACTTTGCCACCGGCCCCCACCCCCTCCAAACCGCTTCAACTCTAACAACGTGAGCTACCAGTGGGTGATCTAGTCTCCATGAATTTATATTTCTACTAATAAATATTACTTTGGGGAGCTGGATATTAAATTTATTTTGATGTATACAGAAATATATAGTCACTTAAAAATAAAAACTGAGACTCTAGTTCCTCTGGACTTGGAGCCTTTTCTCTCTGAAGAGAAATGGCAATTGTATGTTATATAAAGATAGAGAACTATTGTTTCAGTTTCCTCTTGCAGGCTGTTATTTCTTAAAACGTTTCTGCTAAGCAAATGTAATCACGATGGCATGCGTTATTAATTCAAAATAGCTTCTCAAATGGCTGAAGTTCTCGGAAGGCAGCATGTCTGTTGCGATGTCATTTGTCATAATTCTTTGCTCTTATATAGTGTCTTTTCTCCAAGCCACTCACATACTACATTTGCTTTGTGTCTATATTCAAGACAAAAGATAAATCCTTATTTTGTTAGAACTTTCCAATCTACTGCATCTTTTCATATTTACACTGCAGACCATCTATGGATAGATCTGATTGGTTTCCCTGATACATCCTGGAAAGATAATTCATGACATAGTCAAGGAAAATTATATTCCTTTGCCATAATCTGTTTTGAGAATGAATTTTATGATGGAAGCCATTTTATAATACATTCGATGATGTTTTTCTGACACTTGTCATCATTAATTATGCTTTACAAAGCCTAATTTCTTGTTTAAAATCGGAATCCAAACCATTTGTACCAAAAGAAGTACATTTGAAGTGCTTCAAATAACCTTTAATTTTATGAGAATATATCCTCATGAAAACGATTAAATATAGAATGTTCTGTTAAGCAAAAAACAATAATTATAGAATTAAAAGGATTTCCTAAGTTTTTGTTTTATGATTTGGACTTGCTGATAAGCCTTTCAGGATGTCACAGACCTGATTGGGTAGTGTCCCTTTAAAAGCAGAATGGCAGCTGCTGTCAAAATGGAATGCACCCCCAAAACTTGCTGTTTATTCATATCCCAGTTAAAGCGGAAACAAACAACTGAAACTAATCACGCTTGAAGTTGGGTATCGCCTTTGTGAGCTTTATGAGCCTATTTTTCTGAAATTAGAAATTGCCTGAGTGAAATGTTTCTAGCTAAACTGCTTTCTACTGAAGTCATGATTTTTACAGTCAGATAAATGCCCCTTAAGCTCCATTTATGTAAGCGTCAGTGACATCCAGTGGCTAACAGGCTGATCACAAGTACGTCTCCCCACTGTCTGAGGGGCCCATGGTGGGAAGATGGCACTGGAATCCACTCCGCATTTTTAGAGTGCTGTTTCTACTCAAGAAAGTTGGTTTTTATTGAATGTGGTCCTTTGATTAGGATGACTAAATATTCCACCAAACTTTGAAATAGAAATGATAGAAATGAGACTTGAAAATTGAAAATCAAAATGCACGTAGGGGCTACACAGGAGCGTGCCATTGCTTGGGAAACGTAATTAGCATCCACACTAAACCCGAAGCTAGAAACTCTGCAGGTGTCATTTAGAAATGGTTATTGGGGAGTCTCTGCAGCTTTCAGTTCGACAAAGAGGACTTGTAAACCCTGGCGAGGCTGGTTCATTATGCAGCGTTGGATGAGGTTACCATTAGTGTTTCAAACACATGTGCTTCCCAAAGTAGTCCACCTTAATTTGAAAAAAGGTATTACTTGCAATAATGTCAGCTACATAAATTTATTTGCAGACAGTCAATTCATATTGATCATAACTCGACCTTACGATGACCTTGAGGAAAGGTAGTCTGTGACGGGTATAGATATTGGGATCAATACCAGAGTGCAATCGACTACACCTAGTTACTGATAAATGAAGTAAAAAGGTACACTATTGTCAGAAACAAAGATAATAACAGCTCATTTAGTCAACTACTTGTAAAGGTTTAATATTGATACGTGTAGTTTTAATGACATCCTCGGGCATTCTCAAATGGCAGAAAACAATCGGGTGCAGAGTCGCTGAGCACATTAAGTAGAGAGAATCATTATTTTCCAACTCCAAATAATAAATTCCGTGATATTTGTGTCAACATCGCCGAGAACTCGGGCACTCTCTAAGCCGTTCAGACGTAGCCCCTGATTCCAACTGCACGGGGCTGTTTCGCTTCAGTTTTCTTCTCAATGTGCCAGGTCTCGTGAAACGAAGCACCCTATTACGTGGGAACAAAGCCTCCAGGACCACACATTGTACGTTAGTACTACCCTCTCTTGCACATTTGCTGCGGAATTAGCTTGCCTATCCACAGGTATAACCAACTGTAATCATGAGGAAGAGAGCATTTGGTCTCAGCACATCTGCTCCACATTGATGCATTCCCCTCTGCTAGGGAAAGTTAAAAGAAAGGATGTTAACAAAAATTTCCCCCAATTGTTCCTTTCTCTTTGCTGGGAATTCCACAGAGTGAGCACTTGGCAAGTTAAGCAGAACCTAAGTAAATAGAGTCCATTGGCAAAATGGTAACAGGTTGTGTAGCTTAATTGGAGGAGAGAAGTTCAGGAGCCAGCCCGGTGTCTGTTGCACCCAGTTGGTAAATTGTGCCTGTGGTGAGAACAGAGTGATTTTGCAGCAAGCTCATTTTGGGTAACTAGTCAGCCTGCTACCGTGAGCCAAGAAATATGAGGATTTGGTTTCAGTGTGTTTTTTTGTTTTTTGTTTTTTTTTCTTTTTTTTTTTTCAGTGTAAAATGTATTTCTATATCTTGAGCTTTGTTTATCTTTTTGCCAGTATAATTTTAAGAAATCAATGCCAGCAGTCTGATATTGTCTTCCTAAAGGAGGGAAATGCTAAGAGACATTTGTGGCTATTAAAACCTGCAAACAGAAGGAAAAGGCTCTGTTAGCATAGACTTCACTTGAATGTTTTCCCTGAATGCTTAAGTTTCTAAGTTGATCCCAGCAGTTAATCTCCTGGTCCCATTTCTTAAGCTACGTGCTTTTTTCACACGGTCTTCCTGTTTTTCATGCCATCGTATCATTTGCTATCTTCTTTTGCCTCTCAGACTCTCATGAAGCTATTTATTAATAAACCTGTGTTTTCAATACAGCGCTACATCAATAAACCTCCTTGTGGTTCCGTTAGTCAGCATTCTGGGAAATCCTATGCTATATTGAAGAACTGTAAATCTCCATTATTGCTTCCCATAGCACAAATAAAGAATACCCTCTTACCTCCGTGGCATCCTCTGCTAATTTTTAAGGGCAAATGCATATGCTCGTGCAGTTACTTGGAGGTGCTGAACTTGGCGTTTATCAGGAAGGGTGCTATCTTTGCCACCGAAGACACCCTGAAACACCTATAATCAAAAGACATGCTAATTTAAGGTATTAAGAAACAAATTACTTCAGTTCTCTTTAGTCTTCCCTTTTCCTAAAACCTTTAACTAATCTGGTGGGATAGGCGAATTCTGGACTTCAGAGTCTTCTGCTTAGCAGCTGTGTTATTTGATGTGCAGTGTGTTATTAACTGACACGAAGAAAATATCAGTAATTAAAAAGATAAGAATAGACTTTTATATACCTTTTTGGTAGCAGACAGAAGGAGTAGGACAATCCTTGTTTATACGAACTAAAAAACTTCTGGTATTTGCTACCTAAGACAAGGGTGGTAATTACATTTCTGCACGACTGTAAGAGAGAGTTTGGCTAGTGAAAGGTGTGGCTTTTTATGGTTTCCCCAAGAGAAAGCACAGTGGAAGTTAGAAGACGGGAGAGCTTACCCAGTGAGGGACGGCAGCTTGGAGGAGCTGGCTTGGCCAGTGAGGCTGGATTTCCTCTAAGGGTGCCTTTGAAAGTTACAAATGCTATATATTGGAAAAGAGGAAACCAGTTTTCAATATCGCTAAAGATGCTTTTAGTAGAACAGATTCAGGAATCCTAAGAAACATTCTATGGCCACATCCCAGAAATCCCTGGGCCCTCCAGGACTCGTCTCTTTAGAGTTGGTGTCTTCCGCTTACTTTGTAACAGGTTCCCTCCTACTGGGGATGCCACCAGCACCTCTACTATGAGTTTTGGGTTGTCCTGCCTTGCCCTTATCTGCTGCTCTGGCTCTGGGCTCTGACAATGGACTAAGTCAATAGGGGCACAGGCCTATATCTCTTCCAAATCACTTTGGTGGCTGACTTTCTACTTTGTATCCTAATTTCATTTCTCATTGGCATATCCACTGAGAGCAGGGAGCCCTTTGTGGTTTCCAGGGCTCTGTGGGTTTCCTAGTACCCAGTGGCTCTCTGCTGACTCTACCTGGGCTAAGCCCCTCAACTCTTCTCTGGCCTGCTAACTGGCTGATCTTGCACTGTCCTTAACCAAATTTTTTTGTCTTCAAGATTCCGTCTCAGTTCTGTGTGCTCCTTTGCCTCTTCTTGGAATCTCCTCTGGTCCCCGAGATTCCAGGGCCTACTACAGAGACATTCCACAAGGGCTGCCTTTTGGGCAGTCTCCCATCTCCGGACTGTTTCTCAGTTCTCACCTCTTCATTAAAATTTCAGTATTTTACTCAGTCGAAGTGATTGTGTATGTTGGATTCCCTAATGTTAAATTCCTGGTGGGTAAATGGATTACTCTGTTGGATCGAGGTGACATTTACATTTTAAATAGGGATGATGAGAGGCCTCAAAGACTTTCTCAACACTGAAGTGGTGGAGGGAAGAGATTATTTTAAGACGTTGGTGTCTTTTAACAGCAGCCCTTGAAGGACACCCTAGTCCAGATCTGTGTAAGGGGGGGCCATCTGTAGCATGATGTCCCAATAGGTCTACACATGCCCCCATAATCCCATTCAGAACAGCAGCAGCAACAGGAAGCAGTGGAGTGGATTTTAACCGAAGGCCACAGGCAGGCATTCCAGACATGTGCCATTTGATTTAGACCCCAAACCTCCCCAAATCCCCACTAATACCTACGTTCAACAATCTCAACTAACTAGAAGTATGTGCTGAATTGTACCTTCTGGTAATTCAATATCATTATAAGTAAATGGAGTTCCTTTGCTGGGGGCCCTTCACTCTGACAGGGACAAATCATCTTTGGTGAGAGACAGAAGGTACTGAGGAGAGATAAACCCTCAATTATGTTGCTCATCCTAACCATGTCAAGGAAGGGGGAACACCCAGCAGACATGATCATTTTTCTAGGACTCAAAGCTTTAGTCTTTTGGTAACCCAGAATTCAAGAGCTGGAATCACAAGTATTTTAAGACATGAAGAATTTTTTTTTTTTTTTAAGGTAGATTTTCCATTTATCATTAAATGAAGTTGTCCTCCAGAGAAAAATGCCTTAGGTAGATTTTCTGCTAGGTTTTACCTGCTAAAAACAACAACAACAACAACAACAACAACAAAAACACCTTAGATGCATTTAAAAAGATTGCAGAATTGCAAAAGCAATAAAATTTTACCATATTAATTAATTTTGAATTACAGCCAAACTCTTATATAAGTGTGTATGATATTCATGGTAAGGCCAAATTAATTCTTTATGATCAGTGCTATTGCAATCAATACTAAATGAATTCATAATGATAAGATACTTAAAATAAAGAGTTACCACAAAAACAATAAAAAGACCATCACCATCCAAGCTATAGCACACTAATAAAGTATTAGCTCAATAAGCTGGTGCTATCCATGACAATCAATGGCAGATACTTAATTTATTTCTGCTTGCCCCTGTCTTGCTTTTCCTGTAAGGGTTGTGTAAAAGCGTGGTCCTTTGATTCTACTGTAAATTGTATAGCACAGAAGAAATCCAGCATCCTTCTTATTAAATAATTTTGCTGTAGCATTTCCTTTACATGCCACCTCTCTGGCAAAGAACCCAAGGCATATTATACACCAATTTACATTCCAGAAGAATTCCTTTTGCCACTGTCTCCTCCCCATGATAGTCCTCTAATCTTTTTTTTTTTTTAGATTTTATTTATTATTTATTTGATAGACAGAGATCACAAGTAGGCAGAGAGGCAGGCAGAGAGAGAGGGGGAAGCAGGCTCCCTGCTGAGCAGAGAGCCCGATGTGGGGCTTGATCCCAGGACCCTGGGATCATGACCTGAGCCGAAGGCAGAGGCTTTAACCCACTGAGCCACCCAGGCACCCCCCCCTTTTTTTCTTAATCTATTCTTTCTTTTCTTAATTTTCTCTCTCCTTCTGTCTCTCTTCCACCATTTACGGAGATATTTGCAGGATGAATGGGGCAGAAATTTGAAGGTGGCCATATCGGTCTCTACATTTTGACTTTTTCACTTTAGTGTTGTGAAAGGATGTTGTAAGGCTGGAAAGTAGTAGCTATATCATTTCTGTCCTTTACCATACTCCAAAGATTCAATCAATCATGAAATTAAGAAACAATAAAGACCTGTATTTTTATCCCTTCCTTTCTCTGTCCTTTTCTCTCTTCCTCCATCTCTGCCTTTCCTCCTAGTATAAGAAGTATTTTGAGTATCTTCCATATGTCAGGTATATGCTAGGTCCTAGAAACAGAATCAGAAAAACAAAAGCAAAAACCAAACAAATCATAATCTCTATTTTCCAGCTTAGACAGAATCATGGAAAGAGTACTGGGTTGTTGTCAGATTAGGGCCAAATCTTAGCTCTTTCACTTTATTTGCTGTTTGATTTTAGGTATTGCGATAGAGACACATTCCATATCAAATTCCTCTATCTTGGGAACATGGAAAGCTATAGTTCCCAGCAGCCTTACCTTTAAATAGGATTGTGTGACTAGCTCTGGCCAATGAACTGTATAGAGAGATTATGTGTGTCACTTGTGCCTTAAGTCAAAGAAACACTTTGTAACTCTCCACTTTGTAACTCTCTACTTATTTCTTTCCCAACTCACAGGGTAGCCAAAGGTTGAGGTGGCAGAGACACACTATGAAAACAATCCATACTGCTGAGCCACTCGAGAACAGCTTCCCTGAAGAGGTAGCCAGCCTGAGTGACTGTGTATGTACATAGTTTGTTTCTTTTGGAATTGCTTGTTACTGTAGCATAAGCCTGACCTATTCTAACTAAACCGAGTATAGCATCTGTTTCTTTATCACAAAACAGGAACAATGTATTTTTTACCTACATATAAAGTTACTGAGAAAATGAAACAAGATAGCCATCATAAAACACACAGACTACTTAAGTCAGAATTATGTAAGGCCGACTTGGTCTACTTTGGATCCCAGAATTGAAAGTCTAACAATTTCATAAGATTCAGTTGGCCCTGGTGTCTATCAAAATATAAGGAGATGTTTTTTAACAAGAGATTTTTTTTTTTTAAACAAAGTGATTTGTGGAAGATAATTAAAATTCAGTCTCTGTAAAGGGAGCCTCCATGGGCTCTGATACTTGCTTTCCATTACTGTTTTTGAAGGCTGAATGATACCATTACATACTTCTCTGGTCTGGAGCCTCACAAATGAGTGCTACATTTTCTGTCCCATAGTTTTCACCAAGATATTTGATTTATACCTGAAAATTTTTTTTTGTTTTTAAAGTTTCCTTGATGGAAGTATGTATGCATGTATGTATGTGTTTTTGTATTTAAAACTTAAAATGAGCCACTGCCCCACCTCCTACCCTACAACATCAGATATCTTTGAAAATGGCATCTTGAATTGTTACTGTTGAAACCACCACAGTTTAGTAATGAGTTCTATACCGATGCAAATTTAAATCCGTATTATTATTTTAAATCAGTATTACGGTGGAATTAACCTAGGATGTGTGAATTCATTCAGTCATATAGAGACTATAAAAAGTACAATAAATGACAGAAAGTCACTGAACGTGATGTGGGTAGATATTTTGGAAAGGGTAGTTAGAAAACACCTCTTCTGAGTATGGGATGCTATTTGGCCTGAACCCAAATGGTAAGGACAGAAATATTTCATCTATTAGTTAATGTGGGCTAGGATTTTTAAGGGCTTATGAAAGTATTTCAAACTTGGAAAAAAGGTTATTGCCAATAATTTATGAAAAAAAAAATACTGCAGAGGGGCACCTACCTGTTCATTCAGTAGAACATGTGACTCTTGATCTCTAGGTCATGAGTTTGAGCCCCATGTTGGGAGTACAGTTTACTTAAAGAAAAAAGAAAAGAAAAGAATACTGCAGAATTTAAATCAATAATGTTTATTGAATGCATACAAAATGTCTATTGTTACTAATCATCTGAAACTTAACTGTTCTTATTTTATATAAATTCTATTTAATATGAGTGCATTTTAATATATTTGATCTGATGTGCTTAGAACCCACAAAAATCTACTTGGGTGAGAAGGAGCTAGCTGTA